ATCTAATCAATATCTCCTCAACCTGAAACATTAAAACCTGATGAATATTTATTCTGTGGCAATGTTAACTGATAGGCTACTGATCCAATTCCTTTTGAGATCTCCTAAGGTCAATGAATTTAGGACTAAACTTTTCTTACGTCCAGAAGAAGAATCTTCATCTACTTGAAATTCAATTTTTTATCTTTAAATCTGCGTAGGACTTTTTTCGATTAGCAACTATCTTAAGATTATCTTGAATAATCTTCACTTTATGTTCAACTTCTTGGATCGGATTTGTCCCTATTAAGTCTCGGTCTTTTAATTCTAACCATATTAATGGTGTCCGACACTTTCACTCATATAAGTCTTCACATTGAGTGATCTTAATACTTTACTTTAACTTGCTGACATGACAACTATTTAAAACAAACTCAATGATAACTCTTTACATCTTTTCTCTTAAAAAATCATTATTCAATCCAGTAAAAAAGGCTTTATAAAATCAAAACATGGTATTACTTTAAAGATAATCACTTATTAAAAACTCAAAAGTATAAATGTCTTTCAGTTTTGTATCATCAGCCACTACCTTAACCTTTCATGGTTGTAGTTGATAAACATGTCCTCATTTTTCAAGAATTACTTCATTTTGTGTCTTTCACTCCTTCGATTTAATACATACTTTTGACTTTTTAGATCCTTATGGATATCACATCATTCACCAAATAATTAATGGTGTTCTATCACAAAGCATCCCCAATCATTGCTAACTCGAGATCGTGAATCAATTGATTTATTTCATCTTCTCTAATTGCTTAACAGTGTAACTTCAACTTTTCTTCTTGTGCAAACACACACATCCTATAATTATGATACTCATTTTCCACTATTTTCTTGGCACTTAATAGTTCCAATAAGTAACATGCCTATCATCTATAACTTGGTTAGGGGAATATAATTGTCTACTATCTTTATCATCTTAATTGAGTCTACATGGCTAAGGAATACAACCTAACAAAATTCCACATTTACTATTTGTCAACTTATCATACCATGCTCCCATATCCTTTAAACTCGATCACCCACTCCTTAACATAACTTCAAAATCTAAATAATTTGATAAGACTAACCATCAATCTGCGGATGGAAAGTAATGCAAAAATTAAATCGAGTTCCGAAAGCCTTGTTCAAAGAATTTTAAAATCTTGAAGTAAACCTTAGATCCCATCAGATATAAATAAACTGGCACTCCATGTAGTCTAACTATCCTTGATGTATAATTTTGTATACTTATCCATTGAAAAAAACCCGTTCGAACCGGAATGAAATGTGTTGTCTTTGTTAACTGCTCCACAATTACCCAAATTGAGTCCTTTTTTGTTCGATGAAAAGGTAACCCGTTGCAAGATCCATTAAAACTCTTTCTCAGTTCTCCTGAGAACTAAAATTGTTTACTTTTATTCCAAATTATTTAATAACTTAATTTCAACATATCAAGCTTATAAGCTATACCTCTTTAAAATCCTTGTCATACTTGGTTCTCTAAACCATTCACTTTAATTTCTTAAGTCTTTAATTACCTTAACATCTCATATACTCCTCCATTTCCTTGATTTCCTGTTCTATCCTTAACATGTACTTATATAAATTCATCCTTTATTCTAATAAACTTGAACTTTACCTTTGCATTCCTGGTGCTATTTCTTCTTCCAACAACCAATGGATGTAATATATTAATTTCCATAACTTTCTTATAGGTCATAGAAAGTCATATATATACTCATAACTCGGAAATTTTTCCCTTTTTAATTCAAAATCTTACTTGTAACATATGTCATCTCTTTTTCTTCGTACTCCAATATCCTTCTCAAATGGTATGAAAATCATCACCATACTACTTGAAATCCTTACTGACTGCCAAATTATTGCACATTCCTAAGTTTGGTAATCTACACTCCTTTATAAAGAATCTTATTCTTTATTATTCCTTATATTAATAATTTATCCCCTTGATCCATTAAAACTAAATTCAATTTTTATCTAACCATTTAAAATAATTTTTCCACTTCAACTTGTAATTTCTGACTGATTTTCTAATCCAGTTTACATAGTTTACATTTAAACTAACTTCTTATAACTAACAATTCCGAATTCCTATTCATTTTTCGAAATAAATTTCTCTTACTTCAAACAAAACCCACTTGCTTTATTTGTATTCCTCACCACATTGAATAAATTTCAAATATCTTCTGTGACATTGCAATTACTTCTCCGACTTATCTTTCACAACTATCCATTTCCAACTTACACTCAATCATAACTCAAACATATATACTTTCTACCATTCCTCCCTTAACTTCTTTCGGAAAGTTTAACCATTAATCTATATTCTACTTCATATCCTTCATTTATCTTTACTCTCTTTTTCAATCATCAAAATCTTGAAATCTTTTCGAGCCTCTCTGAATCATTACTTTGAACAATCTTCTATAGCTTAACAAAAAAATATTTAATCTGCAACCAAAATTATTATACATCCTTGATAGCAACTTATATGTTATTTATTCTTGCCTTTGTGGCTTGAAAACATTTAACCATTACTCTATATTGGTATTATTGTTTTTCCAATTGAGTAAATTTGTAGTCTCGTTTCAATTTACTCTTTTACCCAATGGAAAAACATTCTTTACCAACCTTAAGAAAAATTCATACAATAATCCCTTTTAATTAATCAAATATTATAAATCCCCGGAAGATGGTACTTTTCTTCTTTACTACTTTACTTAATGGACGAAAATTTGTCAATAATTTCATAACTTATCTTTCTTCCTACATATCTTTCTAGAGGTGATTCAGGTAACCCTTATAGATACACAATTGGATACTCCCAAACAGTCAAATTATGCTTTAACTTAACTATGAAAGTTTGAGTATCCACCTCATCCACTAAGAAGGATTAACAATCTTATAATAATAACTGAATAATAGTTACTTCAAAATCCTATTAGGAAACATATTTACTGTATTTATCACTTTAGTCCACCATACACTTGCTTAACATATTAATAGTGACATTACTACATCCAACTCCTCCATTTAAAACAGTGAAAACCATTAAACAAAATTTCCTCATCACTTAGCCAAGATCCGTAGAAACAAGATCTTCTTCAACTCCTTCTTTAAACTTGGTGCTCCTAAACTTTTTATCTTTTTAACAACATTTCCTAGGAATCAGAGAAGTAGATAGTTGAAAACGCTTCAAAATCACATCCAACGTCAGAAAAGTACTCCCTGAGATGTCTGTTATTCACTTTGATGATTGCTACTTTTCTTATTAACTCTTTTTCCCCTTTCACTTCGAAAAATCTCTTTGTCTTACATCTAATATACCTAATCGCTTAAATATACTAGCAATGATAACATAATCATTACACTATTAGATCAGAGATATTTGTTATTTCGTTGGTATACAAACCAAACATTTTTTTACAGTCGATCGGCCGGTCTATTTAAAAAACTTGACTCAACCTAAGCTCTGATATCAATAATGTAACACCCTGACCCGTACCCAACCCGAATATACTCTAAGGTGTCACATTACTATTCAACTTTGACTCTTGAAAATTTTGACTAAAATTTGACTTTTATTGAAAAAAATGAAACACATTTACAAAACATATCATAACATCTAAAATTTAAACATTTATAGTACATGCCAACCAAAATGACCATAACAAAAACACATGCAATTCAAATCTCTCTGATCTATTAATCTTCACTAGTATGTTGCCCTTTTTTTGCTTACTCGGCTTGCACCTCGAATCTCTTTGGACCTACGTGTGAAAACAATCACACGCTAAGTCTATGACTTAGTGAGGCATAATGAGTATAATAAAGTAGTAAAACATTTATGTTACTTTTTCAAAATAACATTAAGTACAAAAATCAATATATTCTTCATAATTTATACATATTACTCAACATTACTTACTTTATAACTATTGGATACTTGATTTTACATTTCCTTAAAAACATTTCATATCAAATCCAATAGACATTTCATGAACATTTTATATTGTTACTCATTGTTCAAATTATTTAATTTGTTTTATTAGCCCAGCGTATTGCTAAGAACTCAAGGTATGTGAATACATTGAGGTTGTGCACTGATGCAGTCACCACTGCTCACATAATTTGCACTGAAGTGCCATAGTTGTCCTGAATGACCATGTAGGTTTATCCCGAATGACCACATGGAATCCTCGACTCTTGGCATGCCAACTATACCCCTAATTCTCATAAAATATACTTTGGGCTTTTCCATATAATTATTTAACATATCATTATTAAAAATGTCTTTTTCACATATATCACATTCACGTAGAATAATTCTGCATAAGCTAAGGTTTCTTATCACATTTTCATATAGAGCTTATTCTCATAGTTTTCATTTCACATAGCTTTTATTCACATAGCATATATTAGAATCTTTTCACGTAAAACATACTCATTTCATTCACCGAATCTTCTTAACTTATCATTTATTCACATAGATCATATATTCATAACATTTAATATGCCATTATTCAAATTATCATTTCTTCCGTAAAACATATTCACAATGTTCATATTTATAGTATTTCACATAGAATATATAAATATACTCATAGCAAAAATTTAAACATTTCTTTTAAAATGTGATTTAACTAAAACCACAAATAATACCAATCGTTTTGTTTAAAAGCATCTAAGGTTGACTTCTCGCAAGTCGTCCTCCAATCATATATATATAATAAATAAAGAGCACTCACATTTGCCTCACTTAAGCCCTAATCAACTCCTTTTCACTTTCACCTTATCCTTATTTGTCAATTCGTTCAGCACTTGCTTTCAATCAAATCTACACATTAACATGATCGATATGAATATCAGAGCTCAATTAATATCTAACCAATTAATCATTACTTAAGCGAAATGAAGAACCAAATTTAACAATTCAGACTGAATAGTATCAGTACTCTTCCTGTAGCACTGATACTTCTCTTATATTGTACCAATACTTCATTAATGATACAATTTCAATATTCTGGAATTTCATCTTTACTTACAGTATTGATACTTATCCTTGGTATTGATACCTTCACATCAGTATCGATATTTCTTCAACCAGTATCGATATTGTTCATCTAGTTCATATTATTTCCTTCAATTTAACCTTATAGTATGATAAGTTATTCCAGTACCGATACCCTTACCCATAATCACTTATTTCATTTCGAAATTTACCCAAAACTCACTTAAATCTTTTACCATAACTCTATGTATGCTTTTAAACTCATTATCACTTACCTCAACTAACTTATTTTAATATCTCCTTTTAACATCCAAATTTATCCATATAACTCTTGAGATTAAAAATCGTATCAAATTTTCAAACATTTTCTCCACCAATTCTAAGATTTCAATTACCTTAATTAGGCCTTTGACAAGTCAAATATGTCTTTAGAATCAAGTTACTAACCAAATTTCACCTTTCACTTAAAAACCTACTTTACTAATTTACCAAAAATTCCTAAATCCTGTAAGTTTCCTTAAGTTTCTATGCCACCCAAGGATTAAAAACAAACTCAAAAACGAAAGAAAACTCAACTTGAAAATTAACTCACCTTAACAATGAAGCTTCACGTGAAGAAAAGAATATAAAAAAAGAATAGTATCCAGAAATTTCCTTTTCCCACATGCTAAACGTCTTTAGGAAATGAATTTTAATTCTTTTCTTGCTAAAAGACTATAATGCCCCTACATTCTTAATTCTTTGATAATTAGTCCTAAACAAAATCCCAAATTAATCATTGAACTTTTCAATTAATCAAAATTAAATCATTAACTTTTAAATCCTTACACTTAGTTACTAACCCAGGTTTGGGGTATTACAATTCGTTCGATTAAAGTTAATAAGACTAACCAGTGGTAAGAGACTGCACTCAAGGATAGTCTTCTGTCAATATATTAACAGAGCAATATTATATGTTACCATCTCCTCTAAAGATGGATAATATGAGCCAAAACAAAAAAAAAGTTCGCAATGTGCAGACAAAAGCCGAACATATCATATGGAATTGTAGACTGTCTTCACCGATAGCATATATTGTTAAAGACCCTATTAAGATACTTGACGACAGCTTCAATTGCAGGTTGCTTTTGATGTTCTAAACAGCCTATTTTCAAATCTCTTATCATTCGGCTAGAATAGCACTAATTGTTGCATGAAACAAGCAGAAAGGTTGAATATTCCAAGTGATTGGTTTCAAGGCTTTCAATTCTGACTATAAACAGTTGTATGAAGGTCTGGATACAAAGATAAAAGGTTGGTGAACAACCTTGTTAAAAAAAAAACACGATTGGTTGTGGTGATTTAAGGGATAAATACTTGTAATGCAAAATAGGATATGAAGCATAAATTTCAGCCCCAATAATCACCATGCGTCCTGATACTCTGCATGGTTGAAATGCTTTTAGCTATAAGTGTAACACATGCTCTTCATTCATATTCATATTCCCTGCAACTAGTTCCCTATTTTAAGCAATGGTATCGTTTAACAACAAGGTAACATCTTTTACATTCAGGGTCTTCTTCTTCACCCTGCTGTTGGTTTCCCCTTTCCTTGTCTTTGGCTCTTCATCACCAGCAAGACAGAAGGAAGCCAGTGCTCTTCTAAAATGGAAGGCCACTCTCGATACTCAAAGTCAATCTTTCCTCCCTTCTTGGGATGGAAATGGCCCCTGTAACTGGACCGGGATCATTTGCGACAAGTCCACAAGTGAGCCCTTTAAACCTTTCGAGTTTTGGTTTGAGAGGTACACTTCATGGCTTTAGCTTGTCTTCTTTCCCCAGGCTTACTGTTCTTGATCTAAGCAATAATTATCTCAATGGAACCATTCCATCAGATGTTGGTACTCTATCCAGATTAAGATACCTTGACTTGTCTTACAATTACTTTTCAGGTGAAATTCCTGCTTCTATAGTTAACTTGACAATTTGACTAAACTTTCCCTTCCTGGAAATAAATTGATTGGTTCTACCCCTTCATCTATAGGAAACTTAAGTAACTTATCTGATCTTATCCTTTATAGTAATAAATTCGGGGTCCATACCAAAAGAAATTGGAATGCTGAGTGCCCTTAAACGGTTTGATTTGTCTAATAGTCTTATTGGTGAAATTCCTGGTTCTATAGGAAACTTGGCAAATTTACTCTTTCTCTACTTATACGCAAACGAGCTCTCTGGTTCTATACCTCAACAAATTGGAATGTTGAAGTCCCTGAATGACCTTGACTTATCCGAAAATAATCTGGTTGGTTCTCTTCCTCACTCTGTCAGAAATTTAACCGGTTTGCATTATCTTGGTCTCTTTGATAATAAAATTTCCGGATCCATACCGAAAGAAGTTGGAATGTTGAGTTCCCTTACCTACCTAAAGCTGTTCATTAACAACCTTAGTGGTTTCATTCCTACAGAGATGAACAATCTTACAAGTTTGAAAGTATATGACTCGGTGAAAACTACTTGATAGGCCATTTACCACAGCAGGTGTGCCTTGGCGGAGCACTTGAAATTTTTGCTACACTTAACAACTATTTGACAGGTCCAATCCCCTCGAAGAACTGTACAAGTTTACGTAGAGTTCGGCTTGAACACACTTACGGGGAATGTATCGGAAGATTTAGCCGTAAATGGGGTCAGTGCCACAATCTAACAAGCCTAAAGCTCTCGAACAATAATATCTCCGGTGCGATACACTCGGAACTTGGAAAAGCAACTCAGATACGAGTGTGACATTTCTTTAAATCATCTAACTGGGGGCATTCCAAAGGAACTAGGAGAGCTGAAATTCTTGTTCGACCTTAACCTGAATGATAATCATCTTTCAGGCAGTATTCCCCCGAAATCGAAATGTTGTCCGGTCTTGCTCGTCTTAACTTGGCTGCAAACAACTTAAATGGCTCTATTCCACGTTGGTTGTGGAAATGCAAGACACTCTTGGAACTAAATCTGAGTGTCAATAGTATTGAAAGTTGCCAGCTATGAAAGCACCAAATTGGTTTCAATAATGCACCGAAAGTGTATTATTGGCAGCAATGATAAAGTGCATTAGTTGGCATAATGATTCATCAAAATTATTATTTTTTTGTAATAGTAAAATCTCACATTTAGTCATTGTACTTTAGGATATTTTCAAGACTAGTTCTTAAGCTTTAACTACAAATACCCTAACTCATTTAGCTTCAAAATCATCCCAAAGCATTCTAGCTTTCTTCCAATACTAGAGAGAATTCAGAGAGTTTCTTGAGAGTTGTTTTCTCCTCCTTTTTATCAAGAGAGAATTATCATTGTTTTCTCCTTGGTAAATCGAGAGAAGTTGTAATTCTTATTTTCTCATAGTGAAATTCTTCTACCGTTGCCCGTGATTTTTACCCTATATTATTTAGGGGTTTTCCATGTAAATTGTGTCTTCTTTATCTTCATTTTTATTTCTCAAATTATCAGTTGCGATTTTACTCTATCCGATAGCCGTCTTCCGCAATAGATTGAGTGGAGCCATTCCTTCTGAGGTTGGCAACTTGTCTTTCCTTCAAGTTCTTGATCTCAGCCAGAATTTGCTGATCAATAAAACGGAGTAAGTCGGGAACTTGAAATCTCTGGAAAAGCTGAACCTCTCTGGAATAAGCTCGGTGTTATTCTGTCGACTTTGGATGATATGGTAAGCCTAACATCAGTTGATATATCCGAAAATCATTTGCAGGGTCCTCTTCCACACAACAAGGCCTTTCAAGAGGCTTCATTGGAGGCTTTGAGGAACAACGAAGGCTTGTGCGAAATACCACTCGTCTGGAACCATGTTCCTCAAATTTAAACCATGATGCTGATCAGAAGAAAAATAGCAAAATTGTGATTGCAACTCTAGTCCCAATTTCATGCACACTGCTACTTGCATTTGTTATCTTTGGGATTCTTTCTTTTTCACAACGAAGAGAACGAACACCGATAACATGCCACGGATAGTAGCAAGTGATAATCTGTTTGCAATTTGCAACTTTGATGGGAAAATGGTGTACAAGACATTGTTGAAGCAACTGAAGAATTCGACTCCAAATACTGCATCGGAGTCGGAAGATATGGAAGCGTTTACAAGACACAATTGTCTAATGGTCAAGTGGTTGTTGTGAAGAAACGTCATCCACTTCCAGAAGATGTGGTGGCGGATCAAAAGCCTTTTTGCAGTGAGATTCAAGCTTTGACTGAAATACGCCATCGCAATATTCTGAAACTTCACGGTTTCTGTTCACATCCCCGACATTCGCTTTTGGTATACGAGTTCTTGGAAGGAGGAAGCCTGGAGAAGATACTAAAGACCGATGAACAAGCAGTGGAGTTGGATTGGATTAAGAGAGTAAATGTTGTTAAAGGCGTGGCTAATGCTGTGTCATATATGCACCATGACTGCTCCCCTCCTATAGCCCATTGTTACATTTCAAGCAAGAACATTCTGCTTGATTCAGACTATGAGGCTCATGTTGCAGACTTTGGTGCTGCCAGGCTTCTAAAGCCTGACTCATCCAATTGGACCTCATTCGAAGGCACTTTAAGTTACACTGTAAACATTAATTTTTTCATATTATTATTATATATTATTATTATTATTATTAAAAAAATACAAGCCCAAAATCAGAGCCCATTTACAAATAGACCAGGAGGCCCGTTTTACAAATCCTTGAGGCCCAATCCAGTCCAGGCCCAGCAGAACCCTTCTAGGTTTTCATCATCTCAACTAGCTGCCTCAGCTCACAGCCGTTAGATCTGGCTTTGATCCAACGGCCCAGATGGTTCCAGGTGAAACCCTAGGGTTATGATACCCTAGGGACCATGCGGCGGCGCCTACACGTCCACACTCCACTGCCGACGCCTCGCCAGAATGCTCCAGAAACGCCACGACGTGCTCCACACGTCAAGCTCTATGGTGACTCACCACCATAACTATGGTAACTCACCGGACGATCCTTCTTTTAACCGGTCCGACGACAGCTTTGTGGTGGCCTATAAATATGGCCACCAAACCTGCAAAAGAAAAGACCAAGAGCAAGAACCCAAGAGCAAAACATCACCAACAACCAAGAAAAGAAACGATGAAGCAGAGCAATCAACAAGCACCCACATCAAGCAGTAAGCCAAAACAAAAATAAAGAGAGAAACGAGACTTACCTCGTCGGAGCCTCCCTATGCCGTTGAAGCCAAAACGTCGGGGTAACCACTTTAGATTTACGCATTTTGGTAGTGATCTAGGCTAAAATATCTTCGGATTTGGCTTTAGGGAAAGCCGGGCTTTAATTTGGGTAGATATGTAATTTTCGGCCACCATTTACAGTGGTCGTGCCAGTACGGCGGCGGCCGGTGTCTTTTTCCCTCCTGCGAGGGAAACTTAGAGAAAGGAGAGAGCATTTTGAATTTCTCTCTTTTAGAGAGAAAAAGAAAGGGAAAATGAGGCTTAGACATTGTTAGGGCCAGATTAAAGGGTATTTAAACCCCTCCTGAACGACGTCGTTTTAGGGGGGGTATTTGTGTAATTTCCCATAAAGGTCAAACCCTACGCGCAGGCCCTCTATGTTTGTATCTTTGCAATTTGGTCATTAAAATCAATTTTCATAATATTAATTGTATATTTTAATTTTTATTTATTATAATTTAGTCACTATACCATAGTTATATATATTTAGGGTAAATACAATATTTAGTCCCTAAAATTTTAATTATTATTATTGTAATCCCGAATATTTTATTATGGTTAATTTACACTCTTAATGTCTATATTACATGATAATTCTAATTATGTACATTAATTATTTATATTTTATAATTTGATCCTTAATTTTTATATATTTTTCATAAGTTTTATTATTTTATATTTTAAATTTATATATTTATGAAAATGATCCTATAGTTTTTAATTTCTTTTATTTATTTGCAATATTATTTTATTATTACTTTTGATATATTTTAAATTATTACTTTCATTATTATTTTATTATTATTGTAGTCATATATATATATATAATTAAATAATAATGTTTATTTATTTTTTAATATCAAAGAAAATGGCAGTCTTAAAGCAACTAGATATCTTATTTTTTATATTTTAAAAATAAATAAATATCCTACTTATAAAAACCAGAAAATACATATTGTTTTATATAAATTATTTTCTTAGAAAAATAATCATATTTTAATATTTATTTATTTTTTAATATTAAGAAATGGGTTGTCTTAAAGCACCTAGAAGTCATTTTCTGATATTCTTAAATAAATAAATATTCTATTTTTATAAATTATATATATTTATTTTAATTATTTTTACAGAAATATTTTATATTTATTTATTTTTTAATATTAAGAAATGAACTGTCTTAAAGCACCTAAAAGTCATTTTCTGATATTTCTAAGTAAATAAATATCTTATTTATATATATATATATATATATATATTTATATTATATTTTCTTAAAATTATATTAATAAATTTGAAATAACAGAATTGAATTAAATATATTTTTGAATTTTTAAATTTCCAATAATAGAGACAATTTATAATTAATGATTACCAATTTAGGCGTTATAGGAGTGATAATCATTCCCTAAACGTAATCGACCACAAATCCCTTTTTATTTCTAAAAAAATAAATTTTTGGTTAAACGCATATCAGTTTATCTTTTAACTGATGTTTTCTTAAAAACTCTTTTAAAAGATAATTTTTAGGTATTCACCTACCTAACCCAAAAAGGTCGATGGCGACTCCCAAAACATTTTTTAAATCAAAATCATTTATTTATTCATTTTAGTTTTCCCCCAGTAAAAATTTCATGCCCGGGCGAAAACCGATTACGACAGCTTGGCAACTCCACTAGGACCTGGCCAAGCTTTAAAATCAATTATAAATTGTCTCTATTAGTTAGAAATTAAAAATTCATATTTATAATTCTTTTCTTTCAAAATTTTTATTACTTATGATTTTCATAATATTTATTATATATTTTTTTTATTAATTCTTTTTTATTTTCATATGTTAATTTCATTTTTATTATTTTTTATTTGTCAAAGGTTTGAATATTTCTCCTCACACAACACGTACATTGCTAACATAAGCTTTTTAATCAACTTGTCCCTTTTAAGTGTGGTGGAAAGCGACGTCTTCGTGAATTTATTATCCGTGTCAGACCTAGTAAATAACTTTCGGGGTTCATATCATATGTCTTCGTGAGAATTTATCTCCGTTTCAGCATAGGGAAATGTATCCCCTCATTAATTCTTTTTATTTTCATATGTTAAATTTCATTATTTTTATTATTTATTTATTTGTCAAAGGTTTGAATATTCTCCTCACACACAACACGTACATTGCATAACATAAGCTTTTTAATCAAGCTTGTCCCTTTAAGTGGGAGTGAAAGCGACGTCTTCGTGAGAATTTATTATCCGTGTCAGACCTAGTAAGTAACTTTCGAGGTTCATATATCTATGTCTTCGTGAATTTATTCTCCGTGTCAGGCATAGGGAAATGTATCCCCTCGAATTAAACTCGATATGCTTTAGTCTATAATGGACTAGGATTAAGGGTTTGTCAGCCTAAGGGGCACCAACAAGGACAGTTCTAGTACCTTTACTCTTAGAACCGAAACTCTGCATATAATAAACCCTAGAATTCACCTGATCTAAGATAATACTAAAACCCTGTCCGTAGGTATACACAGAGGAGAAATAGATTTAGCTTTCAATTTATTTGATTTATCTTTTTCTTCTAAATAATGCATGCAAACTAATCATGCGGTTAGGTTTATTTTTCCAAACAAACATGGAACTACCATGATAGATAGAATCTTTTCTTTCTATTTATTGGTACTAACCAATTTTTTTTTTTCTCATTTTATTTTTCATACATTGGTTTTGCTCTAACTTGTTTTATTGATTCTTTTGTTTGCATTGCATGATCATGGCATAACCAAAATGAGTTGACTTGAAAGACTGTTCATCAAATTGGAAGAATTCATAAATGGACAAAAAGTTTATGATCGAACAAAATGATGCAACCATGGAATGGCATCCTGAGGTAACTCCAAGGATAGATGAGAGCTATACACCCAAAGATCGTATGCCCATTGAAGAGCAAAAGGAGTACGAGAATAAGAGAGCAGATGTCTAAGATGATGGGTAGAATATCTATTTGGCCAAAGGAAAAGAGATCCCTGCACAAAAAGAGAGAGAGCCAATGACAACCCTACAATATCATATACAAGGAACTTCGGATCTTAACCAATTTGAGAATTACGGACAGTCATCATTCGTATTCACAAATTATCAGGAGATACCAAGGAAACGGTGACAACTAAAAGCTCCTAAAAATGAGATGAAATCATACAATCGAAATCTTCGAAGTTTAGTCTGCTCCCGACATCTAAAACTCAGGTTCAATCCAAAACAAAGGTAGTTCTCATGTTGATTATCCCTATATCATATAAAGAGTTATATGAAAGATACTTGAAGCACGAGAAGTGGCTCCATACATAAAACTATTCCAACCTCTGTATCCGAATGGTATGACATCAACGTTTATTGTGAATCATATCGGAGCTCAAGGACATACCATCAAGAATTGTCTTACCTTCAAACGTCGAGTCCAAAGTCTTTGGATCATGGAACCTTACATTTATGATAAATGATCGACCTAGTTTGGTAACTGAAGGTCTACTAGATTAATACCAAAAGTCTTCAAAGGTAAAAGTATTAGAGGTGTCCAGAAGGAAGAAGATTTGCTGAGGTCTGAGGCTCAAATACACATTTAAAGATTGAAAACAATAAATTGAGCACCAAAATGGAAACCATGCATGAAGATTTCCAGAAGGCCAATCAAGCTTTCAAAATGCTGGCATAGGAAACACCCCAGAAGAGTGGATAATAGAGGTCACCAACTGAAAAAGAACTGCAAGATACAGGAAACGAGCCAAGATGTTTCTCATGACAAGTTGCAGAAGAACGATGCAATACAACTGTAGTCAATTTGAAAAAATGTCAAGTCAAAAATCAAATGTTGAATAATACTATAACTAACATGGAAGCTCATATCATCCATCACATCAGATTGATATTGAATAGAAATCAAGGCCAAGAACAAGACATTGAAGAAATGTTTAGATGATTATGGAGATCTTGTATGAGAAATTCTTGAACATAAAGATTCTCACAAGAAAAAATGAACAACATTGTCTACAACTCGGGAATTGACATAGAAGATGAAGGAAAAAGATAATATCATGAAGGAAGTTGTGCTCAAGCAAACATATGGCTCTAAGCTCGTGGACTTAGCTAGTTTCACGAGAGAATTAAGGAAGATTGATAACTCCACACCTGAGCATGAGTGGAAGTTAGTTTGCTTTTAAGGGAAATAGAGAAATTAGGAGTGAAAGTTATCCCCTACATGTAAAGTTTTGTTTGATGCACGAAACTTTGTGTTCAATGAAATCTGTTGTAAGATGGTCACTATTGAGTACACATTTTCATACATGCATTTGTATTTTGCATCTTTGCATTTTTCATTTTGTATTCATACTTTTATGTTTGCTTTTTCATGCACATTTGCATTCTTATTTTTGCATTTATGCATTTTCTCATTTACATTACATTTTTATTTAAGTATTGCTATATACATTAATTATAAAAATATGTAAATAATTCATGAAAGGTTTTGTAATAGTAAACCAATATCATTCATTCATATTACTATATCATCATGAAAACAATGGAGCAATCTTGTGAGGGACTACAAGATCAGTGGCCAGAACAATTGACAGGTTACCTCAAGATACAAGGAAAAAAGCATCGGATTCAGTACCAGATGGATCAAATCAAATTAGTCAGGGATGACATCTGATAAAGAAGAGATAATTGATAAAGAGAAACCATGTTATCAGATTGAAGAGTCGAGAATGATAACATACCCTGGGGCATCCACTTAAGCCCAAAGAATAGCCTCATTAATTATTCACAATATGAGGAGAGATTCAAGAGAATGGATGAAGCAATCAGAAATATGAAAGGTGTTAATTCCTCCCACAAGAACTAGAAGCAAGAGAGCTCAGCTTGGTTCCAGACTTGATTATTCCTCATGAATTCAAAATGCC